TGTATAAAATGGATAGTAGGAATAATTCTGTAGATTGAATGGGTAACATTGTCCACTGGACTGATGCGCTGGATGATGTATTAGTAGAAACATTTTACTCTCAACATTGCTTGGGCCGCAGATCAGGTGGAACATTCACCACTCAAGCTATTGTTGTATCGTTCCAGACTTGAAATAAGCTTACCCAAAGATGCCAATTGCAAAAAAGTGAGTCCACAATCACATTAAAAATTTAAAAAGGCAATTCTCAAAATGGTATAACGTATTCAAATATGGGCTGAGTGGTTTTGCATGGAATCCGTTAACTGAAAAATTTGAAGCTGAAAAGGAGGTCTGGTAACAACTAATAAAGGTAAATCAAAAAGTAAATTATATGTTATTTGCAATACTTTATATAGTTTAAATATTAACATCATATTTTATAGTGGGCTAATCTAGAAGCTAGTGGACTTAAGAAAAAACAGGTTCGAAATTACAACAAAGTGTTGGAAATGTTTGGAAGAGATAGAACTAATGGAGTTGGTTGCGACACAACACATACCTCTCAAAGACAAATGAATATGAATGTTAATACAAATGCAACGAGAGTTGAGAATGTGATGAGTATGGGTTCCGAAAATGTCGATGTTAATATCAACGTCAATAGTGAGGAATCTTTCCATGATCGTCCAATGCCTCAAACTCCTACTTCATAATCCGAAGGTGAAACTTCAAGTTGTTCAAGACCGAGCAAATCAAGACGTTTGGGTACTATCCCAAGAAATGATTATCCGTTTAAGAAAATTGAAATGATTGTTGATGCACTCAATACTATGGTAACAACAAAACTTGTTTCATCAACTCAGTTATACGAAGAAATTGGTCGTTTGAGTCTCACTGAAGATCAAAAAATCACAAATTTATATTTATCTTTTGAAAGAATCAAACATAGTGTCTATATAACGACTCCAAAATTTCAAAAGAAATAAATCATAAATTAAGTGCGGAAGCGAAATGATTAGTTCAGGTTT